AAAGTCTCATGGAGGAATAGCTAAACTCCCATTAAAGCAAAAATATCATCAATGTCATCTGTCTCCTTAATGCTTCTTGATGTATTATGTTTAGTTATTTGCATCATTGTCCATGAATCCCTTTCATTTTCATTGCTTCCTGTAAGGTTTTCATGATTTTGTTTCTCCTTAGTTTGTATGACAGGATTTGAAGCTCTGCTACTCAAGAGGTGCTTACTGTTAGTATAGAGATTAGATTTAAAACTACGTGGTATGAGAGTCTCTGATTACTGATATCTGTAGAACTCTGAGTCTCTTGAAGGGGCTGCTGAATTTCCTTTAAAAGTGTTGGCTGCAACTTTCTCTGTGGTTTTCTCTGTCTCAGTAAAAACTTATTCTCTGATCTTCTTAGTCTCAAATGATGCTTTGAAGTTTTGCTATCTGAGCCACAAAGAAGGCAGTTGCAAATCGATGTTTTTACGCACTCTAGTTTCTTGGGCAAACTTTAAAGGACAGAGAGAAAGGGAAAATCTGAGATTGTTAAATGGCAGAAAACATTCTCAAAAACTTTTTTTTTCCTTTACACCAACTTCCAACAGAAAATACACAATTTACCTAAGTCCCATTCTTGTGTACAACCCCAGAATCATGATGAAAAACAAGGAAATAGGAGCTTCAACTCAAATCTGTTTTCAGAGCACAACTTCCCTCATTCAGGCTGTAGGCAAATGTGTCCCCCTTATATTCCCAAAGTAAAGTAGCTCCTACAACTGCCTAGCAAGGTAGCTTAGTGGTGAGATACCACCAAACTTAGTGTCAGAGCTTTTTCCTGATAATTGCTAATCTGTTCATAATGTAATTAATTGAAGTGGTACTGGGGAAAGAATGTATCTCAAATATAATAGGAAAAGTCTGTGAGGGTGCATTTTTCCACTTCTGTATACAACTTCCTGGAAGTTGTAGCAGGAACTAAATAAGAAGAAAAGAATAAAAGTGAAGAAGTTTATATAAAGAATGAGAAGACAGGGCTTCTAGCACACAAGACTGACAGCTTTGAGCTTCCCAATTTGTGATTCATCTGTATCATGTTCAAGTCTAGGAATTCAGAACTCAAATAGCTGACTGATTTAGGTGTTTTGCTTCTGAATAGGGTGCACTGCCACAGGTACACTGGTACCTTGCTAACTGCCTCACTGTTTGCATAGTCAGATTTCAAAAAGATTAGCATGTGTCTGTACTTCCTGCCCAACCATCCTCCCCTCTTCCTTTTTAAACATATAGAACTTTGTGGAAGGCCATTATAATGTTATTAATAACTGATCTCTGTTTCCAAACTGTTTTGTTTTGTTTGGTTTGTTTTTGTCTTAATATAAGCAGAGATTTTTAAGTAGTGAAAGGCTAGATATATTTCCCAGTGGAAATAGAACTACAGCCCAGCCGGAGTGATTCAGTGGTTGAGCATTGACCCATGAACCAGGAGGTCAGAGTTCGATTCCTGGCCAGGGAACATGCCTGAGTTGTGGGCTCAATCCTCAGAAGGGGGTGTGCAGGAGGTAGCCAATCAATAATTCTCTCTCATCATTGATATTTCTGTCTCTCTCCTTCTCCTCTCTGAAATCAATAAAATTATATTTTTTAAAGATGGAAATAGAAAGGATAAAAACAGAGGATCTGAATTGACCTGTACATCTCCAACACCCTGAGCAAAACCCTTAATTTCCTCTCCTATTAAATGGAGATAATACTGCCTACCCTACAATTACTGTGCACACGAAGTAGATTTAAAATATTCTATATCTTAAACAGCAAAACAGCACTATATATTTCTGAAACACAAAATAATGGTTTAACCAAATAAACACTAGTTTGTTATCCTTTTCATGAACTTTTTTTAAAAATATATTTTATTGATTTTGTACAAAGAGGAAGGGAGAGAGATAACATCGATGAGAAACATCGATGAGAGAGAGAGTCACCGATCCGCTGCCTCTTGCACACCCCCTACTGGGGATATGCCTGCAACCAAGGTACATGCCCTTGACCGGAATTGAACCCGGGTCCCTTCAGTCCCCGCTCTATCCATTGAGCCAAACCGGTCTCGGCCTTTTCATGAACTTTTAATGATTATCATCTCTGCTTCATTTACCCCTAACATCAAACCCAATCTTGAGCAAGATAATTCTCTCCATCTCCGGCTGTTCCCACCCTGAAATCCCTTTTAGAGGGACAGGCTTTAAGGGATCCCAATGTGAAAACCCTTCCAGAAATTCATTCCTGAGGAATACTTAATTTCTCCCATATCCTTTCATCAAAACTTGTTACAAAACCCTTACTATATCCATTTTTTTTTTACTAAAATGGGAATATTTTTTCAATAAATTAAAAAAAGAACAAATTTTAGACAAAATGGGAACCATTATAAAGTCCTAAATAGATATATGTCTAACTATAGATAAGAAATTATAGTGAATGTACAGAATATTGCTTGAAGGATGCATTAAAACCTGGTCAAAAGGACTGCCTCTGTGAAGGGGGAATAAGAATCTTGATTGCCATTTGTGGCTGACATTGTTAAGTGAGCATCTATTGTTTTTTTGTGTTTCTTTTTTTTTTCAATAAAAATAAAGCCCTCAAGTGTCTAATTTCATGTATTATTCCAAGCAGTACTTACTGGCTCACAATCAAAGATGACTATCCTTAGGCAGTTCTATGCAAAGAAAGCAGTACCCGGAGAGTCTAGCTCCTGGGAACAAACATTACCTGACCCTGACCTCGGAGTATGGTGTGTGCCCTTGTAGAAGGCAGGCACCTTCTTCAACTGCTCTCACTCACTCATCCTGCTGCTCTGAAGCTGTGGGCAGACGGGCCATCATTGCTACTAAAGCTAGCATCTGTGAGGATTAAGTTTGTTTTACATACAGTTGTATTCCCAGACATTCCTAATGCATCTGAATGAATGGATAGAATGGTGAAGAGTATAAATAAATAAATCCAATTAACACGTTAAGTGCCCAGTCACCGGTGACAATACACAAACCAGGCTGGGTGCTTAATGTGTTAACCAAGTTTACTCCTCACAGTGATATAACTGTGCCCAACAAAAGCAGCAAATAAAATTGCAGATGGAGTAGATTCCACTTTTAGCCTCCCTTACTCATTTTAATCAGCTTAACAATAACCCACAACCTTCGGACCAACTCCCCTTACCCATTTTAAAGAAAGTTGACTTGTATATATTTCCTAAATAACAACAAAAAAGGAACATTCGGTAATTTTTTAATTTACCTACCTATAACCTTGAGCTTCCACATGTTTAAGGCAGTTATTTTTAAGAAGTTTATTACCCAGAAAGGAAGCCTGAGCCTTGAGCTTCTTGCTCCTGCACCACAGAATCGCCATTTGTATTTCTCAGAAAGTTGTATGAAAGTCTCAGCCTTTTGGAATTTTTGCACAAAAGCTGTGGCACTTGGAATTTCTATCTCTTTCTGAGGAGAAGTTTCATTGCCTTTAGTTGAGACTGAGGACATTTAAATTCAAAGCTGGTCTTTTGAAATATAGAAAGGTGATTTGTTACTGAACTGTAAATATGTAACAATAGAGAAAAGTTGACTCAGACTATCAAAATTTGAAAATCCGTCTTTTTAAATATATTTTTATTCATTTCAGAGAGGAAGGGAGAGGGAGAGAGAGATATCAATGAGAGAGAATCATTGATTGGCTGCCTCCTGCATTGCCCGACACTGGGAATTGAGTTGCAGCTGGGCATGTGCCCTGCCCGGGAATCAAACCTCCTATTTGATGCTCAACCAACTGAGCCATGCTAGGCAGGCGAAAATTGGTGTTTTTGTTTGTTTGTTTGTTTGTTTTTTAAATAAAACCCCTTTTTAGTTCATTGTACTTTCCTTTTGTCCTAAAAAACTTAATTTTTTATTCATTGCTCCTAACACAAAATTTTCCCCCTTCTGTGCTACAGTAGATTCCATCTACAGCTGAATTCAATTGCACACAGAAAACAATATAGATATTCTAACACATCTCTTTCACCTACACATAAGAATAAAACTCCACATGATTAAATATTGCTCAAAGCCAAACTGGTGGGAGAAAAGAATCACTGAAAAGCCTCTTTCCTCTCCTGGACTCCCACAACTTGTTCTTCACTTCCTTCTATACCCCAAGTCACCTTCCTCAATGATGGGTTATAAATGTTACTAAAGACACATGAAGTCAGGGGTGATTGCTCAACATATGTTAAAATGCATAAATTAGTACCATTTTCAGTATCAATTTAACCATCTTTTGATATTGCATCTTTGTCTCTTCAATCCACCTTTCTGTATTAAGTCGTTTGAATTTTACCAACTTTACTACTTATGAAATAATGTCACATATTATGTCTGCTTCCATCCTTCAATCAAAGCGTACCTTCTTCCAAATTTCTTATCCTCAAGAATATAAAAACCAGTAGAAAATATAAAAGTAAAAACCTGCCAATGCTTTGTGGTGGTGACTGGTTAAAGAAGTCAAATGAAAGCAAACTAAGCATATTAGTGCTAATTGCTAAAAAATGTGGCAGTGAGTCATGAATGAGAGGGATTCTGACCAACCAACTTCAAATCCTAGAAATAGGTGGACGGACTACAGAAGTTTCAGGGTCACAGAGAGCCACAGTTCTTAAAACAGGGTTGAAAAATCCATTTTGGAGACTGGTGTAAATGGTAAAGAACATTATGAAACCAAACTGCTTGCGCTCAAATTCCAGCTCTTGTCCCATATTTGCCACGTACTCTAAGCAAGTTTCTTGATCTCTATTGACCTCGATTTCCTCACCTGAAATATGGAAACTAATGATGACACCTATCTCACAGGACCTGTGTTAGGATTATAGGAGGTAAAGTACTTATGACAGCGCGGCGCGGAGGGGCCACCAGGAGGGCGGGGTGGTGACCAGGCGGCGCCTCTGGCGGAGGCAACGGCAGCCCAGCCTCCTGGAGCGTGGCCGCGGGGCAGAGCGGACAAGGATGTGGGCGCCGCCCGCCTGGGCAGGGGCTGGGGCGGACACTGCCATCCCGGCCGGCAGCTGTCTATGGGCAGTGCTAGCAGCAGCACTCGGGCTGTTGACTGCTGGAGTATCAGCCTTGGAGGTTATCACCCCAAAAGAAATATACGTGCCCTATGGGACACAAGGGGTGCTGTCCTGCAAGTTCAAGTCTAAGATCACCACAGGCCCGGCGACCACAGTCTCCTGGAGCTTCCGGCCAGGGGAAATCCACACCACCGTGTCTTTTTTTCTCTTCGTGGACGGGCAAGTGTTCCTCGGGAATGACCCGCTATTCAAGAACAGGGTCACCTGGGCTGGAGACCTCCACAAGAAAGACGCATCCATCAAAATACAAAATATGCAGTATGACCATAACGGCACCTACATCTGTGATGTCAAAAACCCTCCCGACATCGTCTCCGAACCCGGATACATTGTCCTCTATGTTGTAGAGAAAGAGGTGCCCACGCCGCCCCCGACTCCGCAGCCCCGGACACCGAGGCCCCAGCCTCCTCAGCCCAGGCCTCCGCCACCCCGGCCTCCCCCGCCCAGGACTCCACCACCCCGGCCTCCCCCGCCCAGGACTCCGCTGCCCCCGCCTCCGAAGCCCAGGACTCTGCTGCCCCAGCCTCAGCAGCCTGGGACTCCACTGCCCCAATCTCCATCGCCCGGGACTGCTCTGCCCCGGCCACCACCTCCTGGGACTCCTCTGCCCCGGCCTCCGCAGCCCGGGACTCCACTGCCCCGGCCTCCGCAGCTCGGGACACCGGTTTGGCAGGTGGTGGGTATAGCGGCTGCTGTGTTTCTGGGTCTCATCCTCCTCCTCCTCTTGATCATCCTGGTTCTCTGGTACAAAAAGAAACCCTCGTATCCGGATTACACCAGGGATGAGTCATATATGCGCAGTGAGACCACTCCGGCGGACATCACAGTGACAAAATGAACAAGTCAGAGTCTGTGGTGTGCGCGGACATCCGGGAAAAATAAGAGAAGACCCAGATCATATCCTAAGCGAGAAACAAATTCAAACGTGCTCTCCTGCAGCAGTGTAGCCCATAGCATGTGTGACCGGGACACGGGCAGGCGCGGAGCGCAGGAGATGTAAGGGATATGTATAAATATTCGATTTAACTTTCGGATGGGAGGAGCAGTGGTGCATGATGAAAAGATATGGTTCTACATATATGTGAATTGTTTCGCTGTTTGTTTTTTTACTTTTTTGCATCCAGGGTCATTTACAGTTGGGGAAATTCAGCAACATTCCTGTCACCATCATTTGGATATGGTGTTCCTTAATGGTGATGTAGCAATCTCTTAGTATCCCAACAGACTTGGCCTTTCTGTCTAAGCATTTACTGTAGTTGGAGAATGAAGATACTGTGCGGGAGAAATAGCCAGGGTGGCCTGTCCCACACTGTCTGTTCCGACTGCTGGGTTGTAGTTTTTAGGAAACACCGTATAGAAACACCATATAGCGATGTCACTTGGAAATAATTCGACAAATTTTTGTGCATGCTTTTTTTCCCTCTCTAAAGCAAGGGTGGGGAACATTTTTTTCTGTCAAGTGCTTACTTGGATATTTATAGTATCATTCTTCAGCCAGACAAAATTATCAACTTAAAAATCAGTCTGCTGTATTTGGTCAAACATTTAATTAACTCACCCTGACCCCTTTTGCAAGCCTTATACAGCCCTTGGGTCAAAGGTTCGCCACCCATGCTCTAAAGCAAAGGGCATTTTAGCTTCCTAAGTTGTCACAGGGACTTTGAGGTTACACCCTTTCCTGTCAGCTTGTTCAGCATAGCAAGATCAGCAGGAATAGCTGTAGGGCCAGTCTTCCTTGGTCTCTCAGACCAGAGCCCTGTACATGGAACTGAAATAGGAGCCGCAGCCTGGGGAGGAGCTGGTGGCCTGGGGAGGAGCTGGCTGCCTGGGGAGAAGAGCACAGGTGTGTTACTTTCTTTGCTGCTGGAAAGGAGAAGCTGTAGGGGAGGAGTTCACTTCCTTCCAGGGGGGCAGGAATGGGATACATGGAACCTCCATTCCTACACTTAACTGGTCCCAGAAGGCTGTTTGAAACCGGAATCATCTTTTCCCATCAGAAATCATGTAAACTGAATAGTCCACTCCAGACCCCCAAATGATCCCTGTTTTAAGCGTTCTTATATACAGTACATGTCTCGTGCACTGTTTAATTTAAACAACCACTTTTGAACAAAAATATGTATTTTGGACAATACCTGACAAAGAGTAAATGCAATGTAAGTATGTATTAGCCATTATTATTATCATTATTATTCCTCCCTCTGGAACTCATGAATTGGACATTATGTAAATGCAAGCTGGAAGTTTTGTAAATATTCAAGAAAATACTCTTACATTAGAAATGACAGAATTCTTAAATGGAATGTAAGAAATAACCCATGAAGCAAACCAGAAAAAAACAATTTTGAGAAGACAAAGGGTAACAGAAGTCAAGTAGTTACCAGATGAAAGAGGGTGACATGGACATACATATTGTTAGGTCCAGAACAAAAAGAATTTACAGACACTAAGGAGTCATGTTGAAGATTAAACCTGGACAGGAAGAAATGGAAGCATCGTGTTGAGGATGATGATGATGACACTGAAAGTGGCTAATCATATCTAATACCAATTAAGTATCTACCATACTCCTGACTCTTTGTTGGAACTTAACTTGCATTAAATGGCACAACCCCATGAGGTACATACTATTAGGAAGTAGAGATATGAACAAGTCAAGAAACTTACATAAGGTCACACAGCTAGTACAAACTAAAGGACTCAAACCACGTATTTCTCTATGACTGCAAGCCCCATTATCTTAAGCTACAGTATAACCCACATCTACGATGGATCCTAGGGTCACTTTATAGTTTTAGCAAAACATTCAATACAATGTTTCTGAAGGCACTTTATTAACTGAATTAACTCAATGCACTAAAATCCCTTGGAGTGCGTCCATTCAGAAGCAGACTGAGAACTGACATGGTACTAAGCTTAGAGCTAGGGATAAAATAGAGAAGTAAGATTCAATCTATGTCCTTGGTAAGTGGCATCTACTGTATACATTAGCAGAAATCAAGCTATATTAAAATAATACAAACCTGAATAGCTCTGTGTTTCAGCTGTTTGCAGAAAGCCCTCACATCAAATTCTGATGAGACTGCTGTGGAGATGAAAAGATCAAATACAAAAACTTAGGCATACCATTTTCAAATCAACAAATTCTTAAGTGCATGATGATATGTCTTGCCAAATTATTTAAAAAAAAAAAAAAAAGGAGAGGAAGCAAGCACAGAACTATAAGACAATAGGAACAACTTTAAATGTTCAAACTTAGAAAACACATGTATTACTTACCATACCTCTTTGAAGACAATCAATGTGTGTTAAAAATAAAAGGTATGGGATTTCTTCTATGCAACCCATGAGTATATTTTAACTTCAACTTTTTCTTAAGTATGTGTTATATCAAAGCATATTACCTTTGAAGATTTTCTTATTCTTTACTGACTCTCCAAGATCCACATTATTCTGTACATTGATCTTCATTTGATTAGCTTTATTGGAAATCCTATGTGAAGTTTCTCCACTGCACCTCAGTGATCGTTCTTTTGTTGAGAACAGTTTATTTAGCAATTTAGTTACTCCCTTAGCTGCAAAAGCTGTAGGCATTTTTTTCTTAAAGACCTCTAAATAAGACTGTCCTAAAAATTCAACAATATCAGAAGGAAAGGTAAAATCTTTGAAGTAACGCAATGGGTGAATCCTTGAGACCTCCTGAAGCAATCCAAACAATGGCTCATATAAAGAAATCAGCCTTTTTAAAACACCTTTATAGAGAACCCTAGAGAAAGAAATAGATCATGAATGAACCAGTAACTACAATTTGCAGATTACATAATTACCATAATTCAAAGCTGAAAATAAATGCCTATCAACTTACCACTTAAGATAAAAAACCCTATCGCACATATTTGCAAATAGTCAGATTAATCTAGCCTTAATAGAAAAACCCCAAGTACAAAATGTTACTTAAGCCTTAACTGGTTTGGCTCAATGGTTTGAGAGTTGGCCTGCAGACTGAAGGGTATCATGTTCGATTCCAGTCAGAGGCACATGCCCAGGTTGCAGGCTTGATTCCCAGTAGGGAGTGTTCAGGGGGGCAGCCAATCCATGATTCTGTCTCATCATTGATGTTTCTCTCTCTTCCTCTCTGAAATACATAAAAACATATTTTAAAAATCAGTTACTTAAAACACACACGCAACAAAATGTTATTTAAAACTAAATGAATCCCTAATTGGTTTGCCTCAGGAGATAGAGCATGGGCCTGCGGACTGAAGTAGTCCCAGGTCCAATTCTGGTGAAGGGAATGTACCTTGGTTGCAGACACATCCCCAGTAGGGGGTGTGCAGGAAGCTGCTGATCAATGTTCTGTTTCATGTATGTTTCTAATTCTCTATCCCTCTTTCTTCCTCTCTCTAAAATATCAATAAGATATTTAAAAAAAAAAAAAAGTAAAACTAAATGAAATAGCTGTCTCAAAGGATATGCACCAAAATCCTAAGTTTGGTTTTATCTAGGTGTTGAGATGATAGGTAATTTCAGGTTTTTTACATTTTTTCCTGAATTTGAAAATTTCTTGAAATAAGCATGTTTTATTGTTGTAATCACAAGAGCTTAGTTATTTTCATTATAGACAAGAATGATTGTTTGACATTTAAAATAATATGATTAGTCATTTTAACATTGTTACCTCTAAGGATAAGTAGAAAAAAAGAATGACTGGAAACAGTGGTTTAGATATCTAGGTTAACATAGCAACGCAATGTTTTTAATCTCCAAAGACAATTGTTTTTTAAAATATATATTATTGATTTTTTTTACAGAGAGGAAGAGAGGGATAGAGAGTTAGAAACATTGATGAGAGAGAATCATCTACCAGCTGTCTCCTGCACACCCCCACTGGGGATGTGCCCGCAACCAATGTACCGTATTTTCCAGCGTATAAGACAACACCCCTAATTTTACAGTTAAAACATAGGTTTAGGCCTATATTCGCTGTATAAGACTACCCCCACTTCTGAGGCAACGCCAGTTCTTTTTTTAATAGATCGCCCTCTGAGTTTGGCCAATCTGAGCAGGCTTTCTTTCGTTTCAAAAGTCGTCTTATACACCGGAAAATACGGTACATGCCCTTGAGCGGAATCAAACCTGGGACCCTTCAGTCAGCAGAACAATGTTCTATCCACTGAGCCAAATCAGTTTTGGCGCCAAAGACAATTTTTGTTTTTGTTTTATCTTAGTTTTAATTTAAATTAGAGATAACCATCCCAATTGCCTAAAATGGCCCAAATTTGGTCTCTTTGCAAATACGGTCAGGTTTCAAGTCCAATTGTCCATCAAGTAAGCTTCATCCTATATAATAAAAGACTAATATGCAAATCGATCAGTACAGTTGAACCATCAGTCACTATGACATGCAGTGATCACCAGGGGACAGACACTCAACTCAGGAGCTGCCCCCTGGTGGTCAGTGCGCTCCCACAAGGGGGTGCACCGCTCAACCAGAAGACAGGCTCACAGAGCCTCTCCCACCTCTGCCACAACCCTAAGGATGTCCGACTACCAGCTTAGGCCCGCTCCCTACTAAGCCAACAGTGGGACATCCTCCGAGGGCTCTTGGACTAGGAGAGGGTGCAGGCCGGGCTGAGGGACCCCCTACTTACCAAGTGCACAAATTTTGTGCACTGGCCTCTAGTAATATATAGAGATGCAAGAGAAGGTCTCTTTACCTTTCAGCTACTTCCAGTGTTCTTATATCAACTAACTGTATTTCAAAAAGCAGTAGTGTTTCAGGTGGAGAAAAAGGATTTGCAGTTCATAAGGAAGATCATGCCATTAAGAATTGTAAATCTAGAGGCAAAAAGAATTGATTGATACAGCCTGCAAGAAAAACCTTCACTTTAAATGGTCCAGCTGCTGTATGATTACAGCAATGATTTTTTAAAAATTATTATTCTAATGGTTAATCCTAGGATTTCATTTGCTTAATTGTTTAGTGTTGAGGTGGTCTCTTGCCTTCAGATTTAAAGCCTAATCGTTTGACATAAAACACTTAGCTTCCAAATCCATCCCACATAAACTCTGATCAAACGAAACAGAACTCCCACAAGTTCAGCATCCCCTGGGAAAATAAATATGAAAAACAGTCAGAAACCTGGCTGAGTTAAAGAGATGAAAAGAAATGATCTCACAGGAGTGTACGTACATACATACCATAACCTGGCTCACCAGCTCAACCATCACAAGGTTTAACACAATGAATTCTTGCAAACCTAGGTGTTTCACGGTCAAATTAAGTTAAAGTTGGAAAACAGAACCAAAGTAATTTGGATTTTGTAAGTTATGTTTATGAAGGAACTAGACTGGAAATAGAATTTTTTTTTTGAGGAATTAAAGCCTTAAAACATATTCTATTTAATTCGTGAAAACTTAAAATACAGTTGTATATGCTCTGCTAGAGCTCTCATTATTAAACTGAGTTCCTAAGGTTTAGTTTCTAAGATTAAGAATTTCTGTCAATGTCCTAAGGATAATACATATCATATGAGAGAGAGATAGGCAGTTTCTGGCAATGGTAGTATGAAGCAATTCCTGGGAAAAGGAGGCCACGAAGCAAATTTATAAGAATTCCATAGGTTATAACTGCTATAGACCTACAGACCCCCTAGCTTTCAAACCGAAATACTACTAAACTTATCCAAATAATTCCAACTGAGAAACAGGTATTTCAGTTGCTTCAAGGATACAGAAGTGTCTTGCAGCAACAGTCTAACAAGCGAAGTAACAATTTGCAGGCTCCCAAAATCTTCATCAACACAAATTCCACCACTGGTTGGTTGGGGATGACACACGCTTTGGTAGCTACAGGCCGATTTTCACTTGACAAAAACAGAAAAGTATATTACTTTCATTATTAAATTGAAACTACTTTTAAATACAACGTTGGAAAAGAGAACCAAGTAATTTGGATTTTGTAAGTTAAATTTATAAAAGAACTAGCTTGGAAATAGAAAGTATTCAAGTACAGAGTTCCTTGAAGCTCAATTTGAGCTAGTTATGCTCAAATAGGACTCACTGAATTTCATGGACAATGATGTTTCAATATAATCTTACCGTGTCTCAGATTTCAAGTGACACCAGTCCCTCCCACAAGCCAACAAACGGAGATTACAACAAATACCTGCGCCCCTCATTAAAACAACACTTGTATAACTAAGGTATAATTGGTTATATTCCAAAACCAAGAAGTTAAAAAATCCAAAGGGAGATCACAGCAAGACAGAGTTCTCACCACAAAGCAACTAACCACTTACTTGAAAGAAAACAACTCAGACAGATCCTGAATTGAACTCTCCAAATTCATGTTTTTCAAACGTTTTAAACACTGTTCAACCTGAAAGGGGAAGAGCAGCTCAAATTCATATGTTATAATACAGACAAGGCCACTGATGGGACCAGGAAAGCAAAGAAAAATTTCAAAGTATGGAAATATACTGAATACCACAGAATATCCCCTTTTTTTTAAGGGTAAAGAAATCTGTAACTCAAAGCAATTGCTTCTGGCTAAAAATCTAAAATTTATGCAGCAAAACAAATTTCTCAAATCAGATAACTGAGAATTTATTATGTGTGATACTTACTTTGGTGTAGTTTATTATAAACTACACCAAAGTAAGTATAAGATTATTTTCAAGATTATAATTTTTCTGAAGCTCAATTTCAGAAAGCTCAATTAGGAAAGTGATCAGTCTATTCATTTTATAAATGTATGCTGAATACCTAATGTGTGCAAGGCATGCTGGGAAATAAATACTAACCAATTTCTAGTTACTAAAAATTTACTAGTAAATTAGTGTGTGTGTGTGTGTGTGTGTGTGTGTGTGTGTGTATTGGTTTAATTAAATGTTGAAATTAAAAGATATGCCTTGCCAAAATCGGTTTGGCTCAGTGGATAGAGTGTCAACCTGTGGACTGAAGGGTCCGGGGTTCGATTTTGGTCAAGGGCATGTACCTTGGTTGCGGGCATATCCCCAGTAGAGGGTGTGCAAGAGGCAGCTGATCGATGACTCTTTCTTCGATGTTTCCAACTAACTCTCTATTCCTCTCCCTTCCTCTCTGTAAAAACATCAATAAAATATATATTAAAAATTAATAAATGAATAATAAAATAAAAAATAACAGATATGCCTTATTTAAAATTGCAATCCCCTCAGCACTTTTTATCCATAGCAATCACCATTTGACATTTGATTAATTGCCTTTCTCCTATCAACTGTAAGTTCCATGAGAACAATATATTTTGTTTATTTTACCCACCACTGTACTCAGTACTGAGCACTGAGTAGGCATTCAATCCCATTTTTAATCAAAGAAAAGAAAAAAATGGTAGCCATCCATTATACAAAATGTGTCAAGAATTCTGTGGTCCTCAGGAAATACCGCAAAAAGGTCATGCATGGGACTGCATCCAGACTGAAGGATGTCAAAATCTAGATGGACACTGATACTGCCAAAGATAGTATCTTGCTAGAGCTACATATAAGGTACTAAAAATCCAATCGAAGTTATGGATTCTTCTTAACAGAATAGTTTTCAGAACAATGGCAGCAACAATCCCTAAATTCTTGGGGGTCAGCTCTTTTTCATTTTTTTAATTATGGGCACCATTCTTTGAGAGAAGTACTGACAAACCAAGATGGTAAAGCACCGTGGAACACAGTAAGTGAGCTATGTTTCAAACAAAGGCGGGAAGGGGGCTTGAGAAGTTTATCAAGGAAGAGAGACCATAGAGAAATGTAAGAACAGTTTTATATATACTATGTGTGTGTGTGTGTGTGTGTGTGTGTGTGTGTGTGTATGTGTATATATATATATATATATATATATATATATATATATATATATATATATACTTTTTTAAAATAAAATTTAGGGAGGAAGGAAGAAGAGAGAGAAGCATCAATGATGAGAGAGAGAAATCAATTGGCTGCCTCCTGCATGCACCTGACAAGGGACAGGGATTGAGCCTGCTTACTGAGATATGTGCCCTAGACTGGAATCAAATCTGGGATCCCTGAGTCTGCAGGCTGATGCTCTATCCACTAAGCCCAATTGGCCAGGGCAGACAATCTTTATATATCCAAAGTACTGTCACACAGAAGAGAAATCAAAACTATTTTCTATTCTCCTTTGGGAAACATTGGAGTGAAGGTAATTCCAGTAGCTAGCTTTTGAAGGTAGAAAAAAAAATAAATCTTAAAGTAGATGAAAGTTCTTTGCAAACTGATATGTTAAGCAGATAGATAAGGGAGCAGTAGTAAGAGTAATACTAATTGTAGCAGCATCATGGGACATGCTCCCTACTCTAAGGGATGGCAGGGACATGAAACATATACACAAATATCTGTACTGCAACAAAGACCATGCCAAATGATGCAAGAGGAGCCCCAATAGCCAAGAATCATAAAAAGATAAGTTCAACTTCACTAATCAGAAAGATGCAACTTAAAATGAGATTACCATAATAAACATCATGTTATTTCTTGGGAAGAAGTGATTACTGAGAGAAGACTTGAAATGGAACTTAGAGGATGAGAAGGCTTTTAATAAGCTGAGATGGAGGGGACTAGGCCTTCCAAACATACAGGAGCAGGTAAGCAAAGGCTCAGGTGAGGAGACAAACATGGTGAAGACTCGTGAAGAAATCAGGTTGCCTGGGATGTAAAAGAGATGAAAGCAAGAGAGAAGCCTGAGCTAGGAAAACTGAATTGGTCAGATCATGGAGGATCCTATAAGCCATCCTAGGAGGTTTGGTCTTTCTTCAGGAGATAGTGGAGGGACATTAAAAATCAAAGCTGTGTTTTAGGTGATTAATCTACTTTGCTTTGTAGAATATAGGAGAGTAGAGGAAAGATTAGTAGGATAGCAAGACAACTAAAACTTGACATGGCTAAAAAAAAAAAAAAAAAAAAAGATGCAGCCAGAATTAAAAGGGACCAGAAACGGGGGCAGTTTTGACTAATTCAATTAGATGGCACAGCTACATAAAAGGAAGCAGCAGAGAAAATGGAACACCAAATTTTTCTGACTAGGTTATTATTCACAACTTGGAATCCAAGAGGAGAAGTCTGCTCAATCTGAGATAAATTTGTTTTTGGAATTAAAGTCTCAAGAGGAGATAAAGCTGCCCAGACATGAAAACTTAGGGAGGCCAGGATCCCACATCTTTGATGAAGAAATAGTCACCTTTTGTATCTTACGTAATGGGAGTAGAAAATTAACCAGAGAGCATGAATCTGTAAGTGTAGACTCAGTTTCCGTAAATAACAAACTATGAAGTAGCAGTGTGATCTCCATCTTCATCAAGCAAACATGCTGAGTCTCAAACACAAGGCTTCCTCTTTACCTGTTTGAGGGCCAAATGGAGCATCTGGCAGCCCATTCTGTTGTGATTGCTGTAAAGGACTGCACACAGCACATTTGTTTCTGCATCTAAGGTCTGGCTCTTCAGTGACAGGGTAACAAGCCAGCATTCTTTAAGTACAGCTGGAATACAAAAGTCTAAAGCAGAGATTTTAATAAGACTTACTATGTATTTCTGCATTAAGTGTATTATATAAAAGGAAGGGAGCATCTTTCCTCATTTTTAAAGATATTTTCTTTATTGATTTTAGAGATAAGGTATAGGGAGAAACATTGATTTGTTGTCCCACTTATTCATGCATTCATTGGCTGATTCTTGTACGTGCCCTGAACGCAACCTTCGGGTATTGGATTGATGCTCTAACCAACTGAGCTACCTGGCCAGGGCTCCTTGTCAGTTTTAAAGCAGCGTTTTTCAATCATTTTCATCTCGTAGCACACATAAACTAATTACTGTGGCACACCAAAATATATTTTTTGCTGAACTGACCAAATAAATAGGTATGATTTTGATTCATTCACACCAGAGAGCTATTGTTGGGTTGCTTGTTGTCATTTCTTTATTTGACAATCTAAAGGACAAGAGGTCAGTGCCCATAAACAGTTAAGTAGTACATGTTTAAAAAATTCTTGTGGCCCTAGCCAGTTTAGCTTAGTAAACAGAGTGTAGCCCTGAGGACCAAAGGGTCCCTGGTTCGATTCTGGTCATGGGGATATACTTTGGCTGCAGGCTCCTGCCCAGCACTGTTTGAGGCTCATGCAGGAGGCAACCAATGGATGTGTTTCTGTCTTTCCCTCTCTCCTCCACTCTCCCTAAAAATCAACGGAAATATATCCTTGGTGAGAATTAACAACAACGAAAAATATTCTTGTTGCATACTGATTGAAAATCGCTGTTTGTTCTTTTTTAATTTTTTTTAAAAATTATAATACCATTGCCCTCCCTTCCTCCTATATATGCCCTCCCTCCCCAGAGTTTTGTGTCCATTGCTTGTACTTATATGCATGTATACAAGTCCTTCGGTTGATCTATTATCTCCCCAGATATTCCTTCCCTCCCCACTGTAATTTAAGAGACTGCTTGTTGCATTTCTGTCTCTTTATCTATCGTTTGGCTCTACAGTTTATAATGTTCTTTATTATCCATAAATGACTGAGGTCATGTGGTGATTCTCTTTCATTGACTGGCTTATTTCACTCAGCATGATTTCCTACAATTCCATCCAGTTGCTTCAATTTATGAGAATTCCTTTTTTTTAAGGCAGCATAATATTCCATTGTGTAGATGTACCAAAGTTTTTTGATCCAATCATCTGCTGACGGGCACCTAGGCTGTTTCCAAATCCTAGCTATTGTAAATTGTGCTGCTATGAACATATGGGTGCATATTTCCTTTCTGATTGCTGTTTCTAGTTCCTCGGGATATATTTATAGGAGTGGGATTACTGGGTCAAATGGGAGTTCCATTTTCAGTTTTTGAGGAAGTTCCATACTGTTCTCCACAGTGGTTGCAACAGTCTACATTCCCACCAGCAGTGCACGAGGATTCCCTTTTCTCCACAACCTCGCCAACACTTGTCGTTTGTTAATTTGTTGATGTTGGCCATTTTGACAGGTGTGAGAAGGTACCGCATTGTTGTTTTTATTTTCATCTCTCAGAGAATTAGTGACTTTGAGCATGTTTTCATGTGCCTTTTGGCCTTCCTTCTGTCTTCTTTTGAGAGGATTCTAATTAGATCCATTGCCCATTTTTTAATTGGCTTTTTTATCTTCCTTTTATTAAGTTGTATAAGCTGTCTATAGATGTTGGAGATTAAACCTTTATCAGTGATAACATTTGCAAATATTTTCTCCCATACAGTGGGCTTTCTTGTTGTTTTATTGATGGTTTCTTTTGCTGTAAAAAGCTTATTTTGATGTAGTCCCATTTGTTTATTTTCTCTTTAGCTTCCATTGCCCTAGGGGCAGTATCAGTGAAGAAGTTCTTTTGGCATATGTCTGAGATTTTGCTGCTTGTGTATGCCTCTTGTATTTGTATGGTTTCCCATCTTATGTTTAAGTCCTGTATCCATTGTGAGTTTATTTTTGTGTATGGTGAAAGTTGGTGATCTAGTTTCATTCTTTTGCATGTATCTGTCCAATTTTCCCAACACCATTTATTGAAGAGACTGTCTTGACTCCATTGTATGCTCATGCCTCCTTTGTCAAATATTGAGCATAGTGATTTGGGTTGATATCTGGATTCTATATTCCATTCCATTGATCTATATGTCTGTTCTTCTGCCAGTACCAGGCTGTTTTGAGAACAGTGGCTTTGAAATACAGCTTAAAATCTGGTATTGAGGTCTCTCCTACTTTACTCTTCTTTCTCAGGATTGCTGTGGCTATTTGGGGTCTTTTATTGTTCCAAATGAATTTTTGGAGAGTTCTTTCTAGATCAGTGAAATACGCCATTGGTATTTTAATGAGGAGTGCATTGAACCTATAAATTGCTTTGGGAAATATGGACATTTTAATGATGTTGATTCTACCGATCCATGAACATGGTATGTTCTTCCATCTATTTACATCTTCCTCTACCTCTTTTTTCAGTGTTGTGTAGTTTTCCGAGTGTAGGTCCTTTACCTCCTTAGTTAAGTTTATTCCTAGGTATCTTAATTTTTTTTGTACAATGGTAAATAGGATTGCTTTTTAAGTCTCCATTTCTGTAAGTTCACTATTGGTGTATGGAAATGCCATAGATTTCTTGGCATTAATTTTGTATCCTGCTACATTGCAAAATTCATTTATTAAGTCTATTAGTATTTTGATGGAGTCTTTGGGGTTTTTTATGTACAATATCATGTCATCTGCAAATAAGGAAAACTTAACTTCTTCTTTTCCAATTGGATGCTTTTTATTTCCTCTTCTTGTCTAATTGCAATGGCTAGTACTTCCAGTGCTATGTCAAAGAGGATTGGCGAGAGTGGACAACCCTGTCTTGTTTCTGTTCTTAGAGGGAATGGTTTTAATTTTTGCCCTTTGAGTATGATGTTGGCTGTGGGTTTATCATATATAACTTTTATTATGTTGAGGTATGATCCTTGTACTCCCACCTGTTGAGAGTTTTTATCAGGAAAGTGTGTTGGGTTTTATCAAATGCTTTTTCTGCATCAATTGATATAACTATATGATTTTTATCTCTCAATTTGTTTCAGTGATATATCACGTTTATTGATTTGTGGATATTGTACCATTCTTGAATTCCTGGAATAAATCCTACGTGGTCATGGTGTATAATCTTTCTGATGTTCTGCTTGAGCTGAATTGCTAGAATTTTGTTGAGGATTTTGGCATCTATGTTCATGAGGGATATTGGCCTGTAATTCCCTTTCATTAAGTTGTCTTTATCTGCTTTTGGTATTAGGGTGATGCTGGCTTCATAAAAAGAGCTTGGCCAAAACTGGTTTGGCCCAGTTGTGGAGCATCGGTCTGTGGACTGAAAGGTCCAGGCTTCGATTCCGGTCAAGGGCATGTACCTTGGTTGCAGGCACATCCCTGGTGGGGGGTATGCAAAGGCAGCTGGTCGATGTTTCTCTCTCATTGACATTTCTAGCTCTGTATCTCTCTCCCTTCCTCTCTAAAAAATCAATAAAATATATATATATTTTTTTTTATTAAAAAAGGAGCTTGGAAGTGTCCTTCCTCTTAAATTTTTTGGAATAGTCTGAGGAGGATACATTTTAGTTCTTCCTTGAATGTTTGGTAAAACTCTCCTATCATGCCATCTGGCCCAGGGCTTTTGTTTGCTGAAAGCTTTCTGATGACTGTTTCCATTTCTTCCCAAGTCACTGGTCTGTTGAGGTTTTTAGATTCTTCCTGAGTTTTGAAAGGTTATATTTTTCTAGAAATAAGTCCATTTCCTCCAGGTTGTCCAGTTTTTTGGAATAGAGTTGTTCGTAGCATTTTGTTACAATCCTTTGTATTTTGGCAGGGTCTGTTGTTACTTAACCACCTTGGCATCCATCTTTTGGGATTCATTTTGCTTAAGGCATCTTGGATTTCTGTGGGTTTTTTCTTCTCTATCTCGGGAAAGTTTTCTTTCATTATTTCTTGAAATATGTTTTCCATGTCTTCCTCAGTTTCCTTTTCTTTTGGAACCCCTATTATTCTAATATTGTTTCGTTTTGTTTTGTCCCAAAGCTCTCGTAGGCTCTCCTCCTGCTTTTTAATTTTTTTTTTTTTCTAGAAGCTGCTCTAATTGGGAATTTTTTTCCATCTTGTCTTCTAGCTCACTGATGTAGTCCTCTGTTTCTTCTAGTCTGCTCTTGATGCTTTCTATTGAGTAATTCATAGTAGCGATGTCATTTTTCATTTCTTCTTGGTTCTTCTTCATTTCCTCTTGGTTCTTACTCATATTGTCAAATTTGTCTTCCATTCTTTTTAGCCATCTTTTGATCATTACTCTGAATTCTTGCTCTGGTAAGTTTCTTGCCTCTAACTTGTTTACTTCCTTTTTTTGTGATGCCTGCTTTTCTTTCATTTGTGGGCTATTTCTTTGTCTCCCCATGGTCTCTTTTTCAGGATGTCTGGTTATGTAGATCTCTCTCTCCTGTGCTGATTTAAAGGCACAAAATACAACACAACCAGGTACAATACAAAAGGCACTGAACAGAAATGTATTTATGATATTAATAACCTCCAATAAAGGTGACCACTAGGAAAAGGCAAATTAAGGGATAGGAGAGAAAGAAGAAGAGTAAAAAGAGAAGAGGGAGGGAGTAAAAGAATAAGATAGGAAAAATAAAAATAAAAATTTTTTAAAAGAATTGTCAAAATGAAATTGGGAAACAGGGGAGAGAGAGAGAGAGAGAGAGAGAGAGAGAGAGAGAGAGAGAGAGAGAGAGAAGAGACTGAGAGAAAAAAGGGAACAAACTATATATGGGGAGAGAATTTCAATAGAACAACCACTAACCCCAGCAAATGCTGGCAACAGTACCTGGAGAATAATATAATCTACAACACCCACTAATATCCAGC